TGCAGATTTCTGGAGTTGAATTTTAAGCACTTTTCTTGCCATCGGTATCATTTGCGTAGTATCCGTTTTACCGTATTTCATCTGCTTTTTTACCTGTGATTAGACACGTCGTTACTAGCCTAACTCCCTTGGCATTCAAATTTGTTTTCTTCTTGAAGCAGCTATCAGGTGAAAAGTTAAAAGCGGATTCAGTTCGGTTAGAAAATGGTCAGATACTCTCTGCTTGTTACTTTTGGCTACTGTTTATTCTAATTATGGCTTAATAAGAATCTTCAGATTTGTCGTTGATCTTGTATTTTAGTCTGTCGTTTCGCAGCAGTGAGGGTAAAGAGGAAATTTTGGTGACGCCTTATAAAATTCCGAGCAGGGGCCCATTTTCATCTTCATTACCACGACAGAACAACATTCCCTTTACACCGGCGCAAGTGGAGGCAATAAGGTCCGGCTTGCAGCCCGGTCTAACATTAGTAATTTATTGCTGCCGTTTATTTAATTTTTCAAGCCTATTGTTCAGGTCGTTGGACCTCCGGGAACCGGTAAAACTGACGTTGCAGTTCAGATTATTTCGTGTATCTATCACAACTGGCCGGAGCAACGGACGTTAATCATTACACATTCGAATCAGGCGTTGAACCAGTTGTTCGAGAAGATCATGCAGTTAGATGTTGATGAGCGGCATCTGCTCAGATTGGGTATGTAACGAGTGAGGGTTGGTGGATTATGACGTCCATCTTCACGTTGATGCTTTTCTCAGGACACGGCGAGGAGTCACTGGAAACCGAGAAGGATTTCAGCAGGTACGGTCGCATCAACTACGTACTTTCCAAACGTTTGGAGTTGCTACAAGAGGTGGAACGGCTGCAGTCGAGCTTCGGCGTCCCTGGCGACGTTGCTTATACGTGTGAAACGGCCGGCCATTTTTTCCTCTACCAGGTGCACGTTCGGTGGCAGGAGTATTTACGGAAAATAGCGGAAACTCGCGACGTCCAAAACGTCTCTAAACTGTTTCCATTTACCGCGTTTTTCGCTGATACTGCCCAACCATTGTTCAAGGTACATCTTTCTAGTGCATGTAAAATTATTTTTGTCCATGCAGTATATCCATAGTGTATATTTCCCCTAGGTAGAAAGCGATGCTTGCATCGATATATACTGTACGATGTAAAACAGCAGTTAACTGGACTTGTTTAAAGTAGCTCTGGGAAAGAGGCGATATGAAGGCTGTACGGAATTTGGATAGAAAATCTCATATTCACTCTCAACCTATCTGCTCTGTCTATCAGGGAAACGGATCATGCACTTTTCCTGAAACACTTTAGGAATATTTCTAGCTGCTTCAGAACCTCTTACACGTAACTAGCTTTAAACTGTCGCTGTTAAAGAACGCGTAGGATGGAAAGCAAAACATCGACGATTTTCTGGAAAGTACTGTGTGAGGACTTCCTAAAGAGGATCAGAATGAGCACCAATAGCCCTTTACAGATCTTGCAAAACCGGGAAATATATAGGAAAGCGTGATATGCCATGCTCTTGCCAGTTGGACATATATAATGATATGCCGTTTATTAGGTTAGACTTGATAGATGTGGACTGTGAGTCATAAGTTATTATGTACTACTACATGAAATGACTGAAATCTACCCAGATTAGTGTAGGAATAAACTTCACACAACGTACATATCTTCAAGGTAAAATCTGACCTGTTTAAGAGAATTTTGAAGGACGGTTTGAATCGTATCAAAACACTGACCTTTCGATGACGGGGACAGTTGTTACCGTATTACTGTATGACCGTTTGTCAGAAATCTTGCATCGTCTCGCCTCTTAATTTTGCCTCGAAGTTAGCACGTTGGTTGTTCGTTGTTTGTGGTAATACGTTTGGTTTTATTTAGGGTGAATCGTATGAAGCTGACGTGGAGACGGCTCAGAGTTGCTGGCGGTACATTTGTCGGCTATTTCAACAGCTGGAAGAGTTTCGCCCCTTCGAGCTGTTGCGATCTGGTCGCGACCGCGTTGAGTATTTGTTGGTGAAGGAGGCGAAGATAATCGCGATGACCTGCACACACGCTGCCTTGCGACGCAGAGAGCTCGTTCAGCTAGGTTTCCATTACGACAACGTGTTAATGGAGGAGGCGGCGCAGATATTGGAGATCGAAACCTTCATTCCGTTGCTGCTGCAGGAACCACAGGACGGCAGAACGCGCCTCAAGCGTTGGATTATGATTGGTGATCATCACCAGCTCCCACCAGTCGTCAAAAACCTGGCTTTCCAGAAGTACAGCAACATGGAACAGTCGTTGTTCACGCGTCTCGTTCTTCTGGGTGTTCCGACTGTCGATTTGGATATGCAGGGCCGTTCGAGGCCGAGGTAAATGTCTGCCTAGCAGAGAAACAACTGTTTATATATGAGATTATGCAAGAAAGTTTTATCATAATTAGAGACTGAAAAGTAATAAGCTGAAGATTACATTCCAATGGGTTGCTTTTGTACGAGTAAGAGTAGGGAGCACTTTAATAGTTAGTCACCATCTACTTCGCGATTCCCATCGCTGTGAAGTTCAGAATTGTAGCAAGCCCATGAATAGCTACCTTTTGTCTTATAAAACAAGTTTTTTTA